CTTCTCCCCCTTGCCGCTTTGCCTCTGTAAGGGATATGTAACATCTAGCTACCGCTATACCGCACTGCCGCTATACCGCAATGCCACTATACCGCAATGCCACTATACCGCAATGCCACTATACCGCAAGCATTTTGATTTTGCCGCAAAATCAAATTCCCCACCAACTCATTATTCATAAAGGTATAGAAAACCTCATGTAATACTTTTACAAATTATCATAAAATCAAAAATTTAAACCAAATTGACACTTTTTACTTGACAAGAGAGATTTCATAGATTCTCTGTACTAGGATCTTTACTATTGTCGAAAAATAGATACACATCTCATATTTTTACTTTGTCAATTGTGAATCCAGAAGTACAGATTGCTTCTCCAAAAGAAAAACAACATAAGCTTAATTGAACCCACTAGTTTTAAGTTTTTTCTCTTTAATTCATTGTCTATATGCTAGCCAACGTATAATTAAATGTAATAATTATTTTCTCTTCTGCCTTATAGCTAACTCGTGAATTGCAAAGACAATCAAATATGCGTTCGTCGATTGTTATTTTACAAATATTATCTAGTACTATATTGTGGCATGTTGCAGTTGATGCGCGAGCCGTTTTAGCTAGTCATAGTCATCCATCTGATGTTAAAAATTTTGAATCAAAATTAGACACAAATATCGGTTATTGGTCACCGAGTACCAGTTCAATCGATTGGTGTGAACGTAATTACGTTATAACCAAGTATATTGCTGAATTTTGGAATTGTCTTTCAAGCTTCTCTATGTGTATATTAGGTGGAATATTATTCATTCGAGGTTTATATAATAAGATTGAAAGTCGATTTTTGTGGTCTAGTTTGGGCTTTGCTTTTGTTGGACTCGGTTCTGCGTATTTCCATGGTACTCTCACACATGTAGGCCAAATGGCAGATGAACTCCCGATGGTCTACTCAATGATTATCTGGTGGTTTATATTAATTAAAATGAATGAGCTCAGACAGCTAAAGAGTAAAACATCCTCAATTGACATCTCAATTATATTTGGAATTTTTTATGGATTATTATGGACTTACGTACACAGTTTGCAAGCATTTGTATTGATATTTCAAGTACATATTAGCATGATGGTAGTCGGAGGTATGATTAAACTGATTTATTTATATCGACAACCACATCATCATGTTTATCGGATAAAGTGTCTGCTGTTGGTATATGTTAGTTTAATAATTTCAGCTTTTGTATGTTGGATTATGGATCAACAGTTATGTGAACGAATGAATAGTATCAGTCGATTTAATCCGCAATTGCATGCTTGGTGGCATGTAATTGGTGCTGTTCATTGTCATCTGGGGATTGTATGCGCTGAAGCTATGCGTCTCCTATCAATCAAATATCAGCAGCATCAAATGAAAAATCTTCAAAGTTCTAAGCAGCCATTCAAACCAGAAGATCATTTACATTTCAACTTCTATTTAGGACTACCTTATGTAGATTATTCCCAAGAGAAACAAACGAATAAAGCAAAAATACAGTAAAAAATACATGCATTTTCATTCATAAAATTTGTGTGTGTGGGTATCTGAAGAAATATTTCTCGATCACATGTTGAATTAAACTTTAGGTTTACAAGATTGGAAAAAGCTGAAACATGAGTTGCTAGATTTGAAAGCGTTCGTCGCTGCATTACTCGAAATAACATCTGTGACATTGTCTGGCTTTCGATCACAAGATGTTAAAATATAATATAAAGCCTTATATGATTAGATTTTCGTAAAATAAAGGGATTGCTTCTTAGTTTTTCCAGCATTGCTCAAGGACTGAGGTTTGAGAACTGTCTCAATTCTTAAAACACACCGACAACAAGGAGGATATCCCTTGAAAAGCTGACGGCTCCTCAGAAAAGAAAGTGAGGAAATAATTGGTGATACTAGTCAATGTCCACCTAGAGAAATGACATCACGATTAGGCAACATCATTGCAACCACATTCTAAGGATCCTTACACAAATCACTTAAAGCCAACGCAATTAAAATTAGTAATAGATCAAGGTCGTAATTAAATACGGGAATTATCGATAACTTACTTTTTGTATCTTTTTATTTTCAATAGTTGTATTGCTTTCAAAGTAATGACCCAGATAATCAAGAAAATTGAAAAAATACTACCTGACAGTGTTGTTACAGGTTCTCATCCATAGTAAAATCTTTGGACGTCAAACTTTGTAGTCATGTAATACTAAGTCGACACAATTATCTGCCAAAGTTTCAGAGAGTTAGCTTTTGTTGAATGTGAGAACAATACGCTTTCAAACTACCTCAGAACTTCTAGGACACCTTTTATTTTCCGTCTCAATTTATCAATATCGAATGCATTTCACATTTTTTGACAGCTTGCCATTGTTTTACAACCAGAAGTGTAATGTAGAAAATCGGAATCTCACTATTGAGATGCGTCCTCGTGTTGTCAATACTATAGATAGTGATCTCCAATCGATATGGATATTGTGTTGACATTTCTTTCCTTAGTTTACAAGCTTGATACTAATTATGAACAGAGAAGATGAATATAATGACGCACACAAAAAGTCGACGACAGAAGAAATAAATCATACGCATTCGAACTGAAATCCAAGAAGAACGAGAAGATGACCGATTCACTCAAGCAACTTGCTATCGAACTGACGCAAATCATTGTACCCATAATCATGGTTATTAGTATCATAGGAAATTCACTTAAGATTGATGTGGTTACTAGGTCTGTCTTGTATCGCCACGTTTGTTCTTGTTATTTTCAGACCCTTGCTTGCAACAATCTTTTTTGCACCAGCGTAATGCTGGTTTATCGTCTTCTGACTGATGGATACCACCTTGGTCTAACCAAGTTCTCCATTGTCTCGTGCAAACTCATCACATATGTCTACCAAGTATGTGCACTATTATCACCATACTTTATTGTGGTTGCCTCAATCGATCGATATTGTGTCAGTTCACTGAGTGCTCGACTACGCAAGTTCAGCAATATCAAAGTAGCTCGATGAGCGATTCTGCTCTTTATATCATCCTTATGATACTCTTCTACATGGATACTGCGATTCTGGTCGATTTACGACCAACCGACACATTCGGATGTCGTATTCGAGCAGATACTCTCTACAAGCATGTGTATCCTATCATGCAAGTTTTTCTCTTTGCTATTATTGTGTCTTGTCTCAGGTGACACCCTGATTGGGACCATTATGAGGCCCACCAAACTTCGTCCCTGTTTTGCTCTCTTTTTTCGTCCCATACAAAAATGAGTTCTCTCTTAATTGGTCCCATAAAGAGAGAAAGTCGAACAGCCACTCGTCCCATTCTAAAGATGACTCCAATTGATTTATCTAATATTTGTTTTATATATTAAGTTTCATACAACATAAAAATTACATAAAGAGCAAAAAAATAAATAACACAGAATTTACTATTTCTTTTTTTTTATCTTGACTGCTTTACCTGATTGAATAGCCGATTCATTGACAGTTAGTTGACCATTTTCAAACACGTTGAATAATTCCAAAAGTGTTTCGTCGATTTTATCGTAGTTTTTCCTTCTTTTTTTATTTGTACTTGAGCAGTCTCTGTTTCTACACCTACATTCGTCACATGTTTTATTTATTCGTTTAACAGTGTATTGAAAATCCAAATAATTTAGAATTTGCTTATTCCATTCAGTGGTTGTAAATCGAAACATGTTATAGTAACAACAGCATACAATGAATATATGAATAAAGCTCTCATTGTTTGCCATATCTTTTTTCTATTCACCAGATTCACCAAATTAGTGAAAATGATACCAAAATGTCACTCTCTCATACTAGTCATATAAATCATTTTCAATAACCAATAGGAGTCATCTTTAGAATGGGACGAGTTACTGTTCGACTTTCTCTCTTTATGGGACCAATTAAGAAAAAACTCATTTTTGTATGGGACGAAAAAAGAGAGCAAAACGAGGACGAATTTTTGTGGGCCTAATAATGGTCCTAATCAAGAGTAGACCTTGTCTCATGATTCTCTTCGGTACCATGACTACCTACAATACAAAGCGAGTGCGTGCCATCACTGCCATAGTCTCACGTCATCGTCGCACGGAAATCAACTTGCTTGCATGCTTCTTCATCAAGTGGGCACTCATATTGTACTCACTGTATCTATTTGTGTAACCTATCTAATATTAGTCCTGCCGACTACAATTCAAAGTACACCTGTATTTTTCTTTGCCCATATAATTTCTCAAGTTCTCTTGTATTTGTTCTTCGTCACGCCCTTCATATTGTACCTCATTTTGGCTCGCACATACAGAAAAGAACTCGTTCAGTTGCTGTGCAGAATACTGCGTCTACATGATGGTAATCAAGTTCAACCAACGACAAACACGATCACACACTGTTCTAGTAATTAATACAAATACTCACGCAGTGACAACCACAAGTTAGTGAACAGTATAATCCACAATTGAATTCAATGTCGTGACCAGCTTCATTCATGATTATTCAATTTTATGATGATAAAATCGCTGTCATGAGAACAAATGTATAAAATATAGTCCGTCAAAATTTACGATATGAAACAGCTATTCATAGTTCATTTACGCTCGAATACTAATGCATGGCTTTGATTTCACAAAATAAAGAACGAGGGACATTTTGGGGTAATTTCGGCCCAATTCGAAAAAGATACCGGTTCAGTCTGANATTGCGTAGATTCCGAGTATGAAGTTCACCTTGCAATTATGTTGTGTTTTGGTCGGGAAAATCGTGAATTACCATCTCAATTTCAGTGCATGCGGTGCTGAAAAGCAGTAGGTAAGCTTTTTTGGTCGTGATTTAACCCATATTTGTGAGCTTTTCGAATGCTCTATCAATGGTAAAAAATGGCTCCGGATCTCATTAAAATAAGGTAACAATACCCACTACACCTGACAGAAAATGACCACAGCTAAATAACATTGTTAACATTTTGCAAGAAATCCTCAACTCTGACTAGAACTTCCATATATAGTTTTGTTCAGGATAAAATTCTGTGTCGAATGGTATATAAAGCATGTTGTTTTTTTTGCTGAAAACGTACCGACTCGAAATTCAACCACTGTACCTAAAAGATGATCGCACGAGCAAAGCCACAACTGCCCCTATGCACAACGGATCAAGCTGAAACTTGTAGAAATGATATAGAACAACGCGCTCTGCAGCTCGAGAAACTTTCAGACTGAACCGATATCTTTTTCGAATTGGGCCGAAATTACCCCAAAACCTCCCTCGTCGTTTTTATCCAGCAGCAGAAATCAGAGATTCGCTTTCTCTCCTCTTTATTTTCTGTTTTCTTTGTATCGTATGACATGAGTAAAAAAACGGGAGCGCAGAAACTAATACGAAGCAGTGTATTTGGACTCACAGTGTAGATTTAACAAATATAAAATGCAATTATATGAAATAAAATATATATGCATGTAGAAAAAGATATGAAAGGCAAATATGTGTTTAACTCAAAAAACTAAAATTGCTTGTAATTAATTGTGCCATTAAACGCTTGAGAAAGAGAGAGAGAGAGAGAGTTAGTCGTTGTTATTTTCTCTCCTTCAATCATATAAAGTGTGCCACTCCATTCATTCGACGATATTCATGAGACAACAGCTCCTACTCTGTTGTGCGAGTATTCTTGCTCTGATGGTGCTTCCATCAGAGTCTGCACTGAGCTCTGGCTGTGGAAAGTCCCTTCCAGATGATTTTTCATCGGGTCAAACAACTTCAATTTCAGTTCCCGCGACGAATGGTCAACCCATTCGTCACTACAAAGTGCACCTCTCAGCCAACTATCAAAACGACCGAGGACACGCGATTGTCTTCTCCTTTCATGGTCACAATGGGAATATGGCAAAACAAGAGGATCTATCTCAATTATCTCTAAAAGGTATACTTATCAATGGTGCGGGAATTATCGCCGTCTATCCCAAAGGAAAGGAGGGGACGGATGGACAGAGTGCTTGGCAAGGTGCACCCTATTCTGCTCCCGGTGTGGATGATGTGAGTCATTTTCTGTCTTTTTTCACTTCTATTAAGAACGAGTTAGTGATATAATTAGATTGCCTTTGTGAACACAATGATCGCCACGCTACAAAGTACATTCTGCGTCGATTCGTCTCGAATCTATGTAACAGGCAAGAGTAATGGTATGTTCCAGTTTTTGCTGTTCGCCTCAAAGTTTCCAAAAATAAATCTTATTTTAAATCAGTGTAAAAAAACGCTTTTCAGTATGACCCCTTCAATGGTAAAAGTAAAACTCTATCGTGGAGTGCTCTAGCATCACGCACGTAGTGTTTGAGGAAGGGAGCTGTAATTTTGTGCTCTAAGTTTACATTCTTCGTTTCAAGAGAGAAAGTTCCACAAAAATTAGAGGAAATATAATCAAAGAGCTTCCATTGCTTGACACGCTTTTGACACTTGCTTATCGTTATAATTTTGGGGACTCCTCGAGAGCAAAAAAGTGCAAGCTCAGATAAAATCAAAAACATCGCTACAAGTTTTATTTTTGCAGGTTAAAGAACATTACAAAAAGAAGGTTCCGAAAGAAAAAAAGCTTTAATGTGTGTGCCAAAATATTTAAGACCCTGGACAACAGAAGCACTTCCAAAAATATTTGAAATATTTTCGACTCTCCCCGAAGTTATTAAATTTTGATAATTAATACAGTGGTTTTTCAAAATATCTGAAAGCTCAGTAATGTGTTTTCGAACTGTTTAGGTGCAGGATTTGTTAACCTCCTAGCCTGTACACCATTGATAGCTTCAAAGATTGCCGCCTTTGCAACTGTCTCAGCAGCTTTCTACACGGGTACATTCAATGGAGATTGTCCTACCCAACGTGCCATACCCATTCTCGACTTTCACGGTACTGCAGACACTGTCGTATCCTACAATGGTGGACAATCACACGGTGGTACACAAGTCAGTATTGACGATTTTCGACATGGATGGGCATCACGCAATGATTGCCAGAATAAATCGACAATCTCTCATTTATCGAAAGAAACAGATCCTCAACAACTAATTGAAATTCAAACGTGGAACACGAACTGTAAAACAGGTGGTATTGTCATAGGATACAAGATCACTGCAGGGCAACATTCATGGCCTCGTACGACATTACCAGTAAAATGCAATGGAAACGTAGGAACGAATGATTGTACCACTACCGTGTTTGATGCTACAACGAGTGTTATCATTCCTTTTTTCAATACGCACACATTGTAATTGAAGAAATAAGTGTGATCTAATAATTCTATGCAATAAGCAATAAACAAATGATGACTTGTTACTGCTTCCTTTCTCGAACCTGGTGACACATGTTAGCTACAATAAGCACAAGGGATGAGAGTGTGAGGTTCAAGTAACCATGATGTGTTTCTGCTCCGCTACGAGTCTCCTCCAGTGACTTTTAACGACTTTCTAGAAAATCAAATGTTATATACGTAGCTTATAATTGTTGCACCAAGATCGTATGCTTGAAAATATTGTGGTATGTTAGAAAAAAAGCAAGGATCGATATGCCAATTCATAGGCGCACGCAAAATATAACACTATATCCTCACATATCTTTCTTGCATTTACTACTCTTCTTCTGCAATTAGTGTGGATGTGAGTGAAAGAAGACTACTACACTCTTCAATATTATAAATAGGGATCTTGTTTTTCCACTATTTTAGAATCAATATAAGTTTTTTAAGAATCTATATTTATGTTAAATAAAAATTCCTGATAATTTCATTAATGTATATAATATATTGAGCATAAATATATATGCATAGATCTTTCATAATCTAAGAAAAATTTATCTTATAATTCAGTTGAGAAAGTACTGTTTATGTTTTTATCAATAAATAAAACAGACAATTTTCTATCTGAATAACAAAAAAGCGTTTAATGTACATCAGCACCATGAGATTTTCACATATATCAATAATGAGAATAACAAAAACAATTGTAGAGAGTATATAACAATACAGCAACAATATTAATACGTATGAAAAAAATATAACAACGAAGAAAAGTTCTGTTTATTTCCTTAAATGAATTCAAAAATGAAATACATTAGCCATGTCATCATTGTTTTAGTCGTTAGTCTGTAATATAGAGTACTTTGCAAGCATGTTTTTTGCATTACGATGTATCTTAATATTATGTCATCAATCGAATTCTATGTAACAACCAGATAAGCACTACCATATTGCCTTGGTATCTATTTTTTCTCAAGTTCACTTTACATGGATTCTTTCCATTAAAGATAGCATGAGAATATCTTTCATTTTTTTCGTGCCGTTGATATTCGTTGCTTACGCATAAACGGTTAATAATGATGTGAGGGTGGGTGTGTGAGTACCCGAAGAAACATTTCTCGACCACACTCTGATTGAATTACAAGCATGATAAATCTGTTCAAAGAGATTCAATGTTCTGCAGGAAAAAAATGAAATCTTATTAACGTCTGACTTTGATTTTAGGACAATTAACAAATTAGATTTCTGTGATGGTTCATTAATAGTCAATACTAGAGAAGAACAAGGATAATTTTCACTTTTTCGACTATCGTGTTGAAATTTAAAATTTTGATGGCATAGATATCTTAAGTAACTGGATATTCTAAAATATTATTCAATCAATACACTCTCAGGTTCTTTCATTTTTTTCCTCGATAACAAAATACATAAAAATACATAAACAAATTTCATCAATGAACGAATATAAAACTTGATGTGTTTCTAAAACGAGAAGAGCAAATTCAGAGAAGCGTTCCTGTTTTTATGATTGAAGATCTTAATCATGCGGCATTATATTTCTGTTGTAAGATACTCAACTATATTGATGATTGTTTTTTTCATTTTTAAGGGCTCTATAAATTGATAAGAATAAAATTCTACTTATGCAAGTCAATATAACGGATAATAATAGTAATAAATAATTTTCATCGTCTATATAGGCCATTGAATAAAGATATTTCGAACTCAGATAAGCATTTTTCTGGTGGGCCATTTCATGAGTACTTTCATGATGATACGATCAATTCAATTCGTTGGGATTATTTTAATATTTATTAATTTAACCACTTCAGTAACTGGAATGACTGTCAATAATGATCAAATTGATGTTTCCAGACAATTATCTGATGTTCGATACGCATCTTCAATTCAAATTAATGATGTTATGAAACATCTTGATGAATTACAGGCTATTGCAACAGCTTCAAGCGGAAATCGAGCTGTTGAAACTATTGGTTTTAATCGTACCCTTGATTACATTACAAATTTCCTTTCAGTAAATACCAAATTTAAAATAACAAAAACATTTTTTAATTTGCGAAATTTTCAACTTCTCCGTAATCCAACATTGTCATCAACAGTAAATGGTGTTGTTAAAACACATATTTATTCCGTTAATCCTGCTATAGGAGAATTTAATCATCCTCTATATACAACATCAGCTAACATTAGTAGCGATATTCTTATTACAGCTATTCCTAATTTAGGTTGCTCTGATGATGATTGGCTTGCAGCAAGTCCAGCGCCTGCTGGTCTTGTAGCCATTGTTAAACGGGGTGGTTGTGCTTTTCAAAGTAAGGGTACTCTAGCAAGTAAATATAACGTAGCTGCTTTATTACTCTACAATGATGGTACAACACCGAACAACATGAGACCTACCAAAATCAATCTTGGTCAAAATAATCGTGTTCCAGCGCTTTTTCTTTCATATGATCTTGGTAAATCACTTGCCACTGCTGCAAACGATCCATCCCAAGTAGCAACTGTTCGTCTTACTATTGTAACTGATAATGAATTGAATCCAGTAGGAAATATTTGTGCTGATACAACAACAGGGGATCCTACTCAAACAATTGTAATTGGTAGCCATAGTGATAGTGTTCCTGCTGGACCAGGTATTAATGATAATGGTATGTTCAATTAATCATTTCATATTCAAAACTACATGTATCTTTCTTGTTATTATGACAGGCAGTGGCAGCGCAGCTAATCTTGCTTTAGCTGCTGCCCTATCGAGTCTTCTACAAACATCAAATTATCCTGCTTATAAGTATCGAATTCGATTTTGTTGGTGGGGCGCTGAAGAACTAGGTCTTATCGGTGCTGATTACTACGTTTCAGAAGCAATAAAATCTTCTGTTGTTGGTGAGCGAATAGCAGATTATTTGGTCAATATTAATTTGGACATGTTGGGATCACCAAATTTTATATTTGGTATTTATGATGGTAAAACAGCTCCGAGTACAACCCCAGCAACTGCGAAACCTGGGAGTAATAAGATGACAGCATTATTTCAAGATTGGTTTGATAGAAATCAATTACCTTGGGATTATACCAATTTCGATGGGCGTAGTGATTATGGTCCATTTTTAGCTGCAGGTATTGCTGCAGGGGGTCTTTTTTCAGGTGCAGATGCAATGAAAACAACAGAACAGGTTAATCGATATGCAGCAATGCTTGGAAGAAATTTGAGTGGTATAGCATCAATTCGACAAGATATATGTTATCATCAATCATGCGATAAAACAACCAATATCAATAAATTTGCTCTTGAAAAAATGGTAAAAGCAACTGCGCATGCTATTGAAAGTCTAGGTCAACAATCTGATTTAGAAAGTTGGCTATATCCTACGAGAGAAATTGAAGAAATTAGTAAAAAAAGTCCACCGCAACAGTATCAGTATGATTCCATTAATGAATACTTTGGACTACCTTATAATTAACATTTTCAAACAAATATATAATATGTCTCCTGAAAAATAAAAATGATAACATTACTCTATTCTACCTGTTTTTCTTTTCATTCCTAGGAATTTTCACCATAAATTAAGCAAAGATAAAGGAAAAAGTAGGAAAGGATGACTGGATATATCAAATTTAACTTTTGTCTTATGCCGTTAGCAACTTGTTTTTACTTTAAAATGATCAAAAAATCATTTCGATATAAAGAGCGTAGAGAGACTATTTCTCTGCCCAAAGGTGGTTTTAGTTTCTAAAAATAGTGCACTATTTAAAACTGGGTAGAGAAGATTCTGCTGACTTTGAAAACTTTCCAGTCTCTCAATCAAAATAAAGAATGACAACTGGTTTAAAAGAGATAATATGAGTAAGCAACGTAGTAATAACGAACACTTTGTAAACAAGATTCACTAAGGAACCATTTTATTGCAATACGATTTAAAATATATTCGATAGAACCACTATCCAATATTAATTTTCTCTCTTACATTTCGTCATGCATTATGCCATCATAATTGAACAATATTCTCCAACGATCGAGAATGTATTCATATTAAATAAAGAGAAGGCATAGATTCAGAAGATTTATACGACGCGTTTCGATCGTTATTAGAGATCATCATCAGATATATTTATGAATCTATTTAAACTACTACATTAGTAAAAGAATTATTCAATGCATAATTAATACTTTTTTACAGTTCCGTGGAGTTATTTTGGCTTGAATCGAACATCTGTATAGTAAAAACTATTCTTTAAGATTTGGACAGAAGGTTGTGAATCGTTGGTTAGCAATCAACGTTTCTGAATGACTTGAAATCGATGTTTACATTCCTGTTTTCCACTGGTCGAATGCTAATTTATAATTGAAGGGTAGATTGAAGCTTATATAAAAATATTGGCCATATCTCTGTGTTGGAGAACCTACTAATCTTTTCTGAGTAACTTCCTCAATGAGACAAAAACGCAACCCAATCGTCCTAGAAGCTGCTTCATTTTGGAACGAGAAGAGAGATAATAAGGGTGAAAATAAAGCTCATAATCCTTGATTACTGATAAACAAATTATGATATGAATGAGATCAATCTAATTTTTCTGTTTCAAAACGAGAGTGTCTCCAATTTCAAATGACAATTAGCGAACGTTATTTTTATAATTTTGCTTGAATTATGACATTGTTTTCAGCGATAAAAATAAAAGAAGAATAATTTACTAACGTACTCAATCTAGTTTCTTTCCAGTATAAATAATTATTGTTTTTACACTTAAAAATAGTATTTTTTAAACTCAAAGAATTAATCACAATTGTTTATGGCCAAAATATTTCTCAAAAAAAAATGGTAAAATTTTCTTAAATTATTTTGATTATTTTTTTCTAAAATAATCGTACTTCTGTCAATAACAAATTTTTATTGATTTGTAAAATTAAAAAACGTGGAGCAGAACTGCACAAAATGGCATCTTAGAATGATGACGGACGTGCAGATGCTGAACTCTCTCGATCGTATGGACCAATGGTTCTGGCGACGGGTAAGTGTCATATTGTATATGTCAATACACCATAACTTAGCTGATAAGAACTAATTAATAAAATGATCATCATGTACAACTTGTATTAAGTAAAATCAAATCATCGATTATTCACTTTTGAAAGCAGCTAGTAATGGTCAAAATAATAATCTCATAAGAACAATCAATTTCTTCTATCATCAGATCTCTATAACTATCTCTCAAAAGAAAAAGCATTCTTAAAAGCATAAATCAATCTCTAATTTTATCTTTTCAGATAATAAGAATCAATAAAACTTTCATAAATTTATCGACACAATCCACTGTATTGCCAATAGACGCTTTTAGTATACACAAAAAAGATGCATAGTTATATTCAAAATGAACAGTTTCATAATCTAAACTGATACCCATCTTATGAAAATGAAAGGAAAACAAGACCTAAACCAACAAGTGTTATATTACATGATGAAATAATTGCGCTTATTGTTTAGTGATTATTTCTAAATGCGCTCTGTGAGCATTTTTTTTTAAATGAAGCAAATAAAAAGATTCGTATATATTTAGAATCAGCATAATACTACTAATAATTTCGGCTAAAAATTTTGCTGACCATTTTCATTAAAAAAAATGATAGAGGGCGTTATGTGCTAGTTGTTTTCGATGATGTCAGAATGTTATACTATTACGGGAACTTGAAACTTTTCAACACTTTGAGTTCGTAAATCTGTGATGAAATTGAATGACACCCTACTTGTGAATGTGCTGAAGCGGTATGTCCTAGTCGCATCAACTTTTTCGGCTTAGATCTCGAGTTTTCTTTTAATACAGATGGGGTTATTTTGTTACATCCAGAAAATCGAGAAGATAAAAATAGCCATGATAAAAATATGATAGAAAGATGTAATAATTTTTCTGTGAAATCACCATTTTAACTGAGACAATTTAGAGATGATCCGAAATAAGTGCATAAATGGATTCATTCCAGTGAGGATGCAATGAGTCATTCGTTCGCACCAGATGGTAGATCAAAGAATAAAAATAAAAATATTTAATGTGATCATTATTGCTACGGAAGTACCGTGTCCATGAGTTTGTCTTTTGTAGTGATGCTTTTTTTGGCCATGATAACTAATAATATTGTTGTCGCTTTACACAGATACTTTCTTTTTTTTCCTTCCCGTCATGAATCAGTGACAAATGGCTCATAGCTACTATATATATATATAAAAGCCATATCTTGACTAGAAATTAGTACAAAGGAAAATTTTATCTTGCTCTATATAGGTACAAACAATTATTGATTCAGGTAAGTTATATGTATTGATTTTTATTAGAAGTTAGCTTGATCAAATATTGATATAAAATGATTAATTGATCTTTTAAAATCTCATTTTCTTAATTTCTTTGACAAAAGTATAATCATCAGTTTAAGAATAAATTCTAACAAAATGCTGATTTTATGCTTTTATTATTGTCATCTTGTTGTTCGTAGATCACTTTTGATTGAAATTCAAATATAATGAAATAAAAAAAATATCGATAATTCGTATAAATAATGAAAGAGTTTCGAGAAAGTAACTTTTTAATAAATGAGTATTATCATTTCTATTTTCTTTTTAATGTAATAGTTACAATAGAAAATGAAGAAAAACTTGTAGACAATGTTAAAATAGATAAGATATTAGAAAGTTGTTGGCAATTTACAAGAAAACCTTGTTAACGCAGCTCCTTTGGGACTGAAATGTAGAACTCACATATATTCCTTAGCCTTATTAAACTAATACAAAATAGGTAAACTCAAAATTCCTTCATAGATTATAGTTGCATTCGAAGATAATCGACCACCAAAGTAAAGATGTGTCTTATTTATTTTTGTATTTCGAATAGAATTTTTTTATTTTTTCTACAGACGCCCTTTTTTTTGTTTGCATTGTTGCTATTCGCTCACGTCTTTTTATGATATGAAAACATTTTTCGCTAAAATTTTCATGTCATTTAATTTCGTTAATTTTTCTTTCTGATTTTCTAAATTTGATTAAAAAATCATTATATTATTCTTAATGCAATACAACATGATGTATCAATCATATTAATAATTACAAGTGTTCTATGAATAGGGAACTATGACACTTTTGTTTTTGTTTTTTTTAGATCAATAAAGATAATGCCGTCAACATTAACTGAAGATAATCGTGATAAATTGAAATTAATTGGTGCACAAATATTTTTTCGACATGGTGCACGAACTCCATTGAATATGTTACCAAATCTTGATGAAGTAATATATGATAAAGAATTACATTTAGATCGATATAAACCAGCTGATTATCAAATAAAAATGTTATTAAAAGATGGAGAAAAAACAATATCTGAACATGCGTTTATTGGTAAAGATAATGTTCGAAAATTAAATGGAGGTATAGCATATTGTGGTCAATTAACAGCAATTGGTGAAAAACAAGTTTATGATGTTGGAAAAAAGATTCGTCAAAATTTAATTATTAAAGAAAAATTATTACCAAAAATTTATGATCCACATTTAATTTATGCTCGATCAACATATATTGATCGAACAATTCATTCAGCTCGATGCTTTCTAGCAGGTTTATTTGCTGATGATGATAATAATCAAACTATTCAAGCTAATTGTCCATTTGAAATTGAAATTCATAGTTGGATTCATGAAATATTATATCCAAATCCTCGTATTTATCCATTATTAGAAAAACGTTTAAAACCAAATCAATTACATAATTTATTAGACATTGAAGATGAATTAAAAAAGGCAAGAAAAGATTTTTTAGATCATATCAATCTTATTGAATATGAACATGGTTTTATTGAATTATATGATGATATTAAATCAAGAGAAGGTAATGCTATCTATCTAATCAATCATAGAACAATTCATTAAAAAGTCTTCTAATCATTTTCTAAAATATCAACTAAAGTGTTTTGTTTTTTGTCAAAAACAAAAAAAATTCTCTCCCTCTCTCTCGTCATATTGATAAATTTTATTTAATGAAATCTTGTCTTAATTAACAATTGATTTTTTTTTTATTTAGCTCATGGTTTTCCTGTTCCAAATAGATTAAAACAATTATCAATGAAATTTGATGAATATTCAGCACAAGAATATTTTTTAACAGGTACTCATGAACAATCAACATTAACAAAAGAATTATTTGTTAAAACAACAGTTGGATTAATGCTTAATTTAATTAAAGAAAATTTTGATCGTTTACAAAATGATCTATTAACAAAAAAGAATGATGAAACTTGTTATAAATTTTATGTTTATGCTACACATGATACATCAATAGCATCAATGAAACTAGCTTTTGATTTATTTGATATGATTTGGCCATCATATGCTAGTTATATTTTAATTAAATTATATTCTTCTATTGATGATCCAACACAAATATTTGTTCATTTAACATTTGATGACAAAGAACAAATTATACCATGG